ATTAGCCCGGACACAAGTGTGACTAATATATTGTTGTTATTTCCAATCGATCAGTTACAGGAGTCTGGGCTGTAGGTTTTCAAACACTTATTCAAGCTTACTTGTGGAGAGTCAATCTGGACTAACTTGAAATGAAACTCAATGCCAGAAATTCATCCCTTTTATACATGTTTATTCACAAAGACAGTCCATTATTTAAACTCCAAACTTGACAGAACAGAGTCATATAATAAACAGATGTCTCCAGTCTTAGATATGTTCATTGACCCAAGCAAGGCTGCTTCATCTTGCTCTATCCTGGATTCATCTGGTACTGTCCAGCTCTACTCATCTTTTCCAATTCTGTTTTCAGTTTATGCCTTCTAACCGAGTAATTCCTTAGGATTCCCAAAGCCTTCCTGAATGTTCTGTGGATATGTCTCGTTATGGCATACAAGGTTGTCCCAGAGAATTTGTGCCTAGTTTGAACATTGAAATTCCCACTTAACTCTACACACAAACCCCATAACAACTGTCTGTGGAACCTTTCAGTGCCATGATGCCCATATCTACTTCACAGGTTATAGAGGCTTACATAAGCATTATTACATCAGGCACAAACACCCTGCTAGAGGCAAAACTCACATGGTGGTAGATCACACTTTGTTGGACTTTATCCTGGACTCATCAGGACATTTGCAAGAATACCAATCTAAGCAAGAAACAACATTTTCTGAGAGAGGAGAGTGCCCTATTGCAACAACTCTACCAGAATTCATTTGTTAATCAGAGTGCCCCAATGCAATACCTTCACAATCCAGAAATACTTCTCATACAAGATGAAAAATAAATTTCCCCTTTACCACAACGTTTATTGAAGAAGGCCCACCGAGTGAGAGACAAAAGGCTTAAACAGAACGTCTAATTCTTTTCTGGCAATACTCACATCAAAAGCAACATTATAATATTGCACCTCTTAACATCATGAAACTTCCTCAGGCATTTCAAAGGGGCATTTTAAAACTTCATAGGATACTGGCATTTAAGGAGATGACATCACATTAAAAGATCAAAACCCAAAAACATGTATATTTTAAAGAGTATCTTCAATGGAGGGAAGTGAGGTAGAGAGAGAGCCGGTGACATTTAGGAAGAAAACAGTGCAGGTATCTCAAAAGGATCATGGGGCTGAAGAGGAGACAGATAGTGAGCAGAGAGGTCATAGAAGTATTTGAAAACTGGTAGGAGAATTTAAGACACCATGTTGTTCAGCTGAGAGTGAACTTCGAACAACAAACTCAAGGGCAATAGGAGTATGGGACTTGGCGAGAGTTAAGACATTAGAATTAAATCAGTTGCTCTCAACGATTTCACATCTCGGGATGCAGGTAATTCCGAGAAGGCTGTATTTATTGCTCAGCCCTCTTTGCCCCAAGGTGGTATGCTTTTCTTCAGTAAGTGACTAAAGCAGAGGGCATGAAGTGTGCAAATGGAGTTGCGTGTGGATCACACTGGGTGATCCTTTTCTTTAAAAAAAAGCTCAAACTAGTTAGTCTTTAAAACCTTAATTAAGTTGCTCCTCTAATCAACCAATAAAATTACCGAATTTATTCAATTCAGTTTCACCAAGACTCCACACAATATGAACACAGCCTCTGGGTTGCAATTCTAAAACTATATGGTCATCCTTTTACAAATTTCCTGCGCTAACACATGTTTAGTTTGGGTAGAAAGCCTCTTGCTCTTGGAGCTGTTCAATTCGAACAACCTTTAGATATACTATAGAAATAGATGACAAAAACAATTTAGTTGCTCTAGGCTTTAGTTCCTTGGAACCAACGTCTGTTAAATCAATGATAATTTTTCGATGTGCAAAATAATGGAGATTCCCTAAACATTACGAATCTTGGCTCGTCTCTCACTAAAATATTGCCAGCTACTTGATTGAGACAACTTCTGGAAAAACTCTTACTTTTTTTTTATTATTGGAAGACTTGTACAAAGGTAATAGATCACTCAAACTTTCTGTCTAAACATCTCCAATGAGAACGCCATAGTGTCAACACTTGACTGCAACACTTGGCTCTCCCATTCACCTGTTTCAACAATGAATGGCACCTCTGGCTGGTCACTATTCCTGGTCACCTGACTGGATGGCAGTGCCTTATCTACTGGCCCATGAGACCCAATACTCGACTAAAAGATCATTTCATAATACATTTTCTCCTAAGTATCTGTTCATGTCCACAATAAGATCAAAGTAATAAGTACAAAGTAAAAAGTAAGAATACAACATTTTCAGAAAAGCAAGATTAAAATTCAGCTGTTGATTTTAGTTGGCAGTTCTTAAAGAAAAGACTTTAAATAGCGCCTTTCATGACCGTGGGATGTCAGAATGTGTTTACAGCCCATTAACTATGCAGCATCTTTATTATTGAAACCTGAATAAACGTGGCAACCAACTTGCACACAGAAGAGTCCCACAAACAATAATGATGGTCATCATCATGAGCTAATCAGTTTTATGATGTTAATCGAAGAATAATTTTAGTCAGGATATTGGGAGGACTTGACGAGCTGATATTTTAGATTCATTTCAGAAGGCAGATGGGGTCTTGGTTATCGTCCCAGTTTAAATGGCAGCATCGCTGATGGCACGACAGTAGCTCCAAGCTGCAGTGAAGTGTCACCTGAAATTTCATGCCCAAGGCTTTGACACAGTTTGGATTCACACCCATTGCTGAGAGTTTGTTATTACTACTCCAATGGCTGACATCAAAGTAAGTGGCATGGCACTGCTCAGTTTTATTCAGGTAATACTAGGAGGTCCATCAGCATTGGCATGGGTCCAGATGTTTGTCCATCTAGGACCAGCCTGCTTCTTAAAGGTCAGCGCAGGGAGGTATCAAACAGAAGCAGCAAG